CCCGGCTCCGCCCGGCGACCCCGGGCCCCGCCAGCCGCCAGGCCGCCCGCACCAGCCCGTTCATGCTGCCCCGACTGCCGGGCCCCGCTGCGCTCCGCCGGCCCCGAGCCACCGCCCGCCGCCTATTGGTAGAGAGAGGGGAAGGTGGCGGAGGAGCTTCTCCTTCACATAGGCGGAGCCGCCCGCCAATCAGCAACGACAGCCAATAGCGTGAGGACGCAGCGCGCCTTAGCCCACCCAGCGACCCTGAGGCTACTTCGCTTTCCTATTTGTGGAGGGAACGGCATCGCTGCAGTTGCATTGGGGGCAGGAACTGCCAATCTAACGGGATCTGGTTAATTCCCTCCCACTCCTCCGATGCGATTGGTCAGGTTGCCCCGCTGAGGTGTTTTGCTCGGGAAACCCTGGGGGGCGCGTGACTTCCGTTTCCGGGTAACAGCCGTGCTTATGGCGGCGGGACCCCGTGCGCCTCAGTCGCCTTCTGTTGGGCCTAACGGCGAGATGCACGGGCCGCGCTTCCCCGCCGCGGGGTGCGGAGCCGCCCGGTTCCCTCCTTGTCCTCGGGGCGGCTGGGGCGGAGGCTGAGCGGTGCGGCGGGGAGGCCAGTGGGGCTGCTGCCGCCGCCTTGACCCGCTCCCCTCGGGCCTGGCGTTTAGTGCCGGGAGAGGAGCCAGAGTTACCGGTAGCTCTGCACGGCTTGGTCTGTCGCCAGAACAGCCGGTGGGGCTGGCAGCGGGATGGGGCGGGCGGGGCGCTTCAGCTCTTCTACGAGATCTCCATTCTGATGCATCTGGAGGAGTATATCACAGCCACCAACGAATTCCCCGTTGAGGTATACTTGTGGGATGGTAGGCCAGTTAGAGTAGTTTTTTATTCCTGCATAAGAAAAAAAAAAAAAAGTATTAAAGGTTTTCCCTCCTCTCTAAACAGAATAGGTTTTTAAACAGAATACATTGCTTCAGCCTGACAGAACCACTGATATTTTCATTTCTTTCCCATTGAGGCAAAAATGTATCTATAGAACAAGAGAACTATTAGAAAAACTATGTCGAAGCTAGGTTTGGTTCTCACTCCAACTCAAAAGATGTGGGCTGAAAGATATGGAGTTGGCTCCTCTACTGACTTCAAACAGGAGCTGAAAAAATTTAACGTGTCTTTTCCCTCCCAGGAAAGAAGCAAATATGATTTTTCAAGCAATTAAAGAGATGAGAAGTCTTGAAAAACATTGAGAACTGTTTACATTCAATTATCCTTTATATTTCCCAAAGGGACTTTACAGTATTTTATATTCTTACTAAATTCTTATACAGTTATACTTGCTACTGCAGTTTCAATTGCAAGATACATTCGCCCCTCTAGAAGCCTTATGAATTTCAAATGGCTTTATCTTCCATTGCCAGACCTTACAGCCCATGGGAGGGGCACAAAGGCTGAAGTCTCTTAAAAAACAGAGCTCGAGTCACAGTTCTGAAGTACGGAATTAAAGTTTAAAGCAATACCTCATAGAAGACAAATGTAGGACCATCCAAAAATATTAACTGATCAGCTGGTATAAATTGAATCCCAACCTGCACTTACAGATGTCACAAAAAAATTATAGAGAAGAATCATTATAACTAATTTGCCACTTTTAAAATGGCGCTTCAGACAAAGTCATTATTTCTGTAGCAGAGGAAGTAGTTAAGTTCTATGTCTGCACACTCTTACACCAACTCCACCAGCACTTGTTTAGATACCAAGTTTTGAATTCAACATTCTTATACATTTTCAATATACACAGGGGAATTTGCTTCCCCTTAGAAAAAACTTTAACCTCTAAAGACTGTAGAGGTAAAACCTAAAATATTGGAGAGAAAAAATAACTATATTAGCAAATTATGTCTACTTTATTGGAACTTAAAACACTTTCTTTTTTAATAAATATGCATAAGTGCATAAATATGCAATGGGATTACAATTTTAATGCATAGAAGATGAAAAAGAGCTAATCATTCCCATTAGTCAAATACCGGCGTGTTTAATAATTTAGAAAAAACAATGTTGTGACAAAGTATTCCTACCGATGAGGTACAACATCAGCTAGGAGATTCTATTTTGACTTAAGACTTTGTGCACGGACACCTAATGCTTCCAAAGTCTAAAACAGCAAGTTTAGCATATAGGTCAAGGCCAAAAGGAATCCATAACCATCTAATCTAATCTTCAGCACCACCACCTGTAACTTCTTCCTTAGCATTTCATAAAACCTTTGTTTAGATACGGTTTGCAGAAATTAGTATGTTTGATGTGAACCTGGGTTCAACACTTAAACACTGCTAGGCCTTTGAGCATTCAAAAGTGCTCTGTTCCAAAAAATCTTTTAACCCACAAACAGTTGCAATGAGAAACAGAGTCCCAATGCTAAGGCACCCTCAAGGGTAACCCTTCTCAAAGAAGCCACTGCAGATAAAACGTAAGGTTTGTTTATGTTAAGATATTGCAATGCTAAACATGAATTGAGAACCAAGGGCACTGCATAATAAATCTACTGCCAATAAGCATTCCAGGGTAATATTTACATCAATTTACACCAAAATCTTTTCTTCAAGGACCCAATTGCACATACATACAAGCACCAAGAGTACTTTCAAGGATGTATCCAACTTCAGATAAAAATATTAATACAGTCAAGCTTAGCTGTCCTGTATGATGCACTTAATGTACTGGACAAGCTGCTTTAAATGCCTGCGTGCACGAGACTCAACCAGATAATAATAAACCACACAGTGCCAGCATTAGCACGAACGAGTGATGGGCCACATCAAAGAACTGACTCAAACAATCACTCTCACTCCCACCACGCTTTCCAGAAAAGCAGCACATTTTCATCTGTTTTCAAGCTCATAAGTACTGGTGCAAGCATGATTGAGGGAAAGCTAGCCCACGGGTGGGAGGAAGGATCAAGATCACCCTCTTGGCAGCATCCCACGCTTAAGTAATGGAAAGCAATGATGAAAATAATCTGAGGATGAACTACTGCAACAGTTCAACCAGTTTAAACTACCACTTTTCCAGTATGTAATCCCAAGCCTCTCTGCCACCTCAATGCCTTGAACCAGCTTAATGCTGCCCAGCAGCTGAAACCAGGATGGATCACTTGTGGCACAGACAACCTAGAGAAACCACAGTCCAAGAAAGAGTGCTGAGGTCTCTTAAACAAACTTTAATAACGAAGGATCTGTGTCAGGGAAGCATATCCTCAAGCTCAAGTTCAGACAAATCACATGAAGTACCAGTAACTATTTAGTTTCACAGATCTGAGTGTGGTTTTAGGTGAAGAGGCAAGTCAGGGGGTTGTTTTGCTTTTACAACTTCCCATAGTCTAGTGCAGGTCAATTTCCAGCAGTTGAACTACACCACACTGAAAATAAGTGTTCCTGTTTCAATAGGTACAGGAAAGAAACTAAGTCGCACCTCAAACGTGCCTGAACCACCATCTCTGCAAACAGCCAGCTCTTACTACAAAGGGTGTAAGCATATGTATATGCAAACATTTAAGTTTTGTTCAGCTGAATACGAAGCTGGTGACCAGCTCACATGCAGTAACCTCCGTGTAGATCAACCTTCAGTTGATCAGATCTACTAGACATGTTCACAACTAAAGGCTCAGCATCCCCTCGCTAACCCCCCACACTGGCAGTGCGGATTAGGTTTACAGAGAGGGCTTAGGAAAGCCTCACATGTTGCACAGTGACTTTTCAGCACCTGAAGCCAGATCCTACAGGAGACTCAGAGGGCCTTCAGGCAGCCGCTGCTGAATCACACTTGGCAACTTACAGCTACAGCTTCCAGCAGCCCTGCCCTCTCCTCTCTCAGAGACTGCTGTCCACTGAAGCGGGCATATATTGGTTTTTTAGGGTGCAGTAGGTAATACAGTTGAAGCAATACGACAGCCTGCTGGTCTTGAAAGCAGTGGTATCATTCCCCAACTCTTCATTTCAAGGCTCCATTCCTAGTGGTGGCCCTGGCACTCACCTTTCAGTACAACAAGCTAGTTCCAACTCACACACCCAGTGATCCAGTTAATAAATTAAGTGCAGTCGGACAAATGCCAACACTGGTGCACAGAAAGGAACAGAACAACTTCTTTAAGCACCTGAGAACCAGCAGGATATTGTGCAAGTGCACGCTCTGTTACTGCATTCAGCGCAGCTTAGCCAAACAGTCCGGATCAAAACAATAATTTTAATTTAAAGCTCAGGTAGCCTGGAGAGCAATAACTTCTTGGATCACTTAGCACAAGCCAGAGTTCACCTGGAGGAAATATTTGCTGTGCTCAGAAGGGAGATGTTCCCCTTGCATAGGAAGAAAATACTATCCACATGGTCAAGCCCCCAGAGACCGTAACTGACAAACGCGTTGCATGGCAAACACAAGCCCTCTCAACCAAAAGTGAAATGATGATGGTTTGATTTCAAGGTTTTGTTCCCTCCTTGTTAATTTATGGATTTGTTCAAGTAAACCATAAGTTTAATAAATTTAGGTATATGAATAAACCTTAGAAAACTACCATGAGTTGCTCACCTGCCAAAGGCAGAAGATTTACTTGAACAAAACCAACATTGATTAACAAAAAATGTTGTCACACCCAAATTCCAGTATTTAACTTCTTAAACCATACCAACTATTATACCCATGAACTGAAAAGCAAGTAAGGATTGGAAAAAAACAGCTATTTGGCTAAAAGCTAATGAAAAACTGAATTAGTCAGCTGATACCACAAACACAGGAGAAGGATGTCACCTGATACATGCCAGCATGTAGATTTAATGCACATTTTAGTGTATTCTGGACAAGAACTGTTAATCTCATGCACCTGCAAGACTAACTACTACATATTATTGCCTTTTTTTGTTTGGTTTAAAACTTTCTCAAATAACCACATAAAACCTTAACAATCAGCTACGCCCACTGAAGAGGGCAAGAAGGAAGAAAAACGTTATGAGAACAGAGTACTACCCTTCTATAATTAGCAAATAACCTTATACAAAATAGCTGCTACCACTTGAGCAGTAATGGTGAAACTATTGCTAAATATTTCTTGTGCAAATGATTAGCATAATTTTGTACTTTATCAAAGAACCCTGGCAACCAGTGCCAGCAGGGAATACAGTGGTATAAACCCAATCCATTCACGAAGTTTCAACAGACTGTTCAGAGGGAACATCTGACTAAATAATGAAGTATTTTAGGGGTCTTTTAATGGAGCTTTGTGTCTACTAACCAGGCAAGGCAGTGTGGCACCAGAAGCCCCATCTCCAAGAGTTGTCCTGTAAGCAGAACTGTGTTCTGCAGATAACTACCCTGCTCTACACGGGGCTACAGAAACCAAACGGGGACATCCAGGCAAAGCCACCTCAACAGTGCACCTCCATGACAGGCTTCAAATTCCCCAAGCCCAATTCCCCAAGCCCCATGATGCAGGCCTGCTTATAAAGCACAACCAAACCAACCCAACCCGAAAAAAAGCCCAAGAGCAAAAAGTGAGCAAAAGTGAGTTACACCTATGAAAAGCGAGTTACAGCTGCGAAAAGTGCACAGAACTAGGGGTGCCAACAACCCACCGATGCTCCAGCAACCCACCCGCAGCCCAGGAGCGCTGAGGCAACCTCGAACCGCCCCCCGCAGGCTGACACAGGCCGCAGCCCCCCCAGGGGAGGCCCGAGGCCGGCCCAGGCTGTGAGCGAGCCCCGGTAGCGGGGGAGGCGGCTCCCGAAGGTGACCCCCGGCCCGGCCCCAGCCCGCCGCTGACCTTGGCGGAGGTCGGGGTCCTGCAGGACGTCGTGGGCGCGGTAATCCTCCACGCCGTGCAGGCGCAGGATCTGCACGACGGCGTTGCTGAAGCCGCAGAGGGGCTGCGCCGGACTGCCCTTCATGAACACCACC